TTTGTGATTATCATTATTGTGTTTATTATGATCGTCTTTATTGTTATTATTATTGTTTATTATTATCATCTTTATTTTTATCATTGCTACTACTACTACTACTACAAGTACTACTACTGCAACTACTACTACTATTATTACTACTACAGGTACTACTTCTACTACTACTACTACAACAACTACTACTATTACTACAACTACTACTATCACTATTACAACTACTGCAACTGCTACTACAACTATCAACATCATCATTATTATTACCACAATCATCATTATCATTATAGTCACCACAAGAGCTACCATCATTACCACTACTCCGAGTACAGCAGAAGCTATAAATATTATAGTCCTCATTATCATTAACAATAAAAAGCTTATCTCAACGCTAAATATTAATCTCGCATAATCGCCGTCACTTTTGCACATCATTTTCATCGCATAAATTTCACCGCTCTGTCACCCCGGCGTTGCCACATGCACAAATCATCAAAGTCATCACTCATTCAAGGCAATTATTCATCACATTCATAAATATGAGCATTCTAAGTCAACTTACGACTTCACTAAAGTTTAAATACACTTTTACACATTCATTCACCATATTTCCTCACCATCAACACCATAAAGATCAAGCTGATTTATCACACTCCGTCGATAAAAGAGTCACAGAGATGACAGTTGCTTCGTCACTACAGACACCACAAAGAGGACAGTCATTCACCATACTTTGTCATCACAAGCACCATGGAACGCATGCTCGTTCACCGCACTCATCTGCCACACTTGATTCACCACACTCCGTAACAACACACACCATAGAATACGCGTTTAGTAAATCACACTCACTCGCCACACTTCTTCACCATAAACACCATAGAGTGCACACTTATCAACTAAGCTCATTTAAACACTTCGTCACGGAGAGTTTGAGATGCACTCACACTCACTTGTGAAAAGGACATTCATCTACCACAGTCGTTCACCACAAACACCATAAGACGCTCATTCACTCACCACAAAACGCGCTTTCACTCACCATCCTCACTCACCACAAGCACCACGCAACGCCCATTCACTCACCACAATAAAAGCCCTTTCGCTCACCACAAAGCACCACAACTAGCCCATTCATTCACCACACTTCGTCAGCGCCAGCAGCCTGAGCCAAGCACCAAAGCCCCTCAATTGGCTGGCCTCGAGCACTCCCAAATCCCAACACAAGCATGCACAAGGGCCTCCGCAAGCACACTCCAGGCACACCCCATCTACGTCCAAGCACACACACGCACTCGGTCTCCTTCTCGTCTGGACAAGTCCGCGCTCTTGGGCTACGGGGGTTTAGTCCTGCTTTATTGTTTTGTCTGTCTGTTTGTCTGTTTTTTATTTTGTTTTTGTTTTGTTTTGTTTCTTGGGTGTTTAGCTTTTTGTTTGTTTGTTTGTTCTTTGTTTCTTCGTGATTTCTTGCTATCTTCGGACCTTCTTTCTTTCTCTTTTCTTCTTCCTCCTTTCCCTTCCAGCGTCTTCCCTTTCTCTCCTTCGTCCTTCCCCCTTTCCCGCAAGTTTCTTTCTCTCTTCTTCTCTCCTTCTCTTCCCCTTCCTTCATTCCTTCTCTTCTCATCTCCCTACTTCATCGCCTTCTCTCCTTCTCTCTCTCTCTTATCTCCCCTCTTCTTTCTTCTCTCACTCTCTCTCTCTTTCTCTATCCTTCTCTCCCCCTAATCTTCCTTCTCCTCTTCCGTTTCCTTTCCGTTTCCCTCTTCCGTCCCTCTTGCTTCCCATAATCCTCCTTCTCTCTCTTTTCCCAATTTTCTCCCTTGCTCTTCTCGCTGAATCCTTATTCTCCTTATTCTTCTCTCTCTCTCTCTCCATCTCTCCCTCTCCTTACTGCCTTCATTCCTCCCTCTCCTCCCTTTCTTTCCTCTCTCTTCTCTCGCTTCCCATCCCTCTCCGCACTTCCCTCCTTTCCCTCCCCTCTCCTTTCTTCTCCTTCCCCTCCCGCCCCTCATCTCACCCCTCTCCTTTCTTTCCCCTCTCCCTCTCCCCTCTCTCCTTTCTTCCCCCTCCCTCTCCCCTTCTTTCTTCCCCTCCTTCCTCTCCTCCTTTCTTCTCCCCTCCCTCTTCCCTCCTCCTTTCTTCCCCCTCCCTCTCCCCTTCTTTCTTTCCTTCCTTCCTCTCCTACTTTCTTCTCCCCTCCTCCTTTCTTCTCCCCTCCTTCCTTCTCCTCCCTCTTCCCTCCTCCTTCCTCTCCTTCTTCCTCTCCCTCCCTCCCCCTCCTCCTTCCTCTCCCCTCCTCCTTTCTTCTCCTCCTTCCTCCCTTCCTTTCTTGCCCCTCCCTCTCCCTTCCTCCTTTCGCCTCCTCTACCCCCCTCTGCCCCCCTCCCCCCTCCACCTTTCGTCTCCCCCCCCTCTGCCCCCCCCCCTCCGCCGCCATGACACAAGCACCCTCGACCGCCATCTCCCCAACTGGCGGAAGGAATTTGCTCTCCAGTCCGGATGAAAGATCGACTTTGTTCTTAAGTCGAATATAGACACAAGGGCTTCAGCTCGCCCCCGTAACACTCGATATACCTCCCCCCCTCCCCTCCCTCCCCTCCCTCCCTCCCTCCTACTCCTACTCCTCCTCTTCTCCTTCTCCTATTCCCTCTTCTCTCCTCTTCTCACCTCTTCTCTTTCTTTTCCACATCTCATCGGTATTATTTTCCTCGAGTGTTTTTTTTTTTTTTTTTATCCCACTCGCCTGTATTTATTTCTCCTTTGACGGATATTCTTTTGTCTTATTCTCGTCTTTCCTGTCCTCCCTCTTCGTATGAATGAAAGGGGGAAACGTTTATAAAATTATCAAATACTCGTCCCAGAGGTTCTTCAAAAAGGAGTTAAATTGCTCATAAAACGACGGTTTATTCGCCTATAAAACGGCACTCAAACGGGGATCCAGTCACACCGAAGTCGTTCCTCGCATCCCTTATAAAACCTAGTATCACTCAGCAACGTCTCGCGAACACACACACAGAAGAACAACAAAATAGAATCGCACGCTTAGGATCGAACTCCATAACACACCGACTGCTCCGACCGCACCCGATAAACGAACGCATTCCGAATCCCTGCAGCGTGAGGAGAGGCTTCAAACTCTTTTCTTCTTTCTTTTTTTTCCCAAGACGTTTATAGCCCTACACACAACACTCGATACTCAATGAAGGTCCTCCAGCGAACACAGACGCAAAATTGATCTTGTATTTACGTCAGAGAGGGCCTTTTTGCCTTCCGTTGAGCCGCTACGCAAATATGGCGGCCGTAAATATGGTCTGCCTCGCTCGTGCCTTCGCGGGGGCTCGGGGCGGCGGTCGGAGGCGGGCCTGTGAGAGTCTGGGGTTTTGAGTGAGGGATGGCGAAGGAGGAAGAGGAGGGGGAAAGAAGGAAGAGGAGGAAGAAGGAGAGGAGGAGGAGGAAGGAGAGGAGGAGGAGGAGGAGGAGGAGGAGGAGGAGAAAGAAAAAGGGGGGAAGAGGAAGAGGAGGAGGAGGAAGTATCTATGTCACAGCCTCTGGCACTGTCTTTGTTAATGTTGTTATTATTAGTAGTAGTAGTATTGTTGTTGTTATTGTTGCTTTGTTATTGTTATAATTATTATTACCGTTTTCGTTAGCATTATTGTTATTGTTATAGTTATTACTATGATGATTACTATGGCTATCGTTTTAATTACTATTACTCTCATCTTCGTCAGCAGCAGCAACAACAGCATTTATTATTATCATATTGTTGTTGTTATTACTATCAATGTTATTGTTTTTGTTATTAGCACTATTGTTATTATTACTACTACTTTTACAATTGCATTTACCTTTGGTATTGTTATCGTAATTATTATTGTTATTATCATAATTGTTATTATCATTACTATTATATTATTACTATTATAATTTTCATTATCGTTATCATTATCGTTATTAGCACAATTATCATCATCATCATCATCATCATCATCATTGTTATAGTTGTAGCTAGGGTTGTAGTATTGTTGTTATGATTACTATCATTATCATCATTATTTATTGCCATCATTATTATCCTTATTATCAGTGCCATCATCATTATCATGCTTGTTATATTATCATCATTACTTTTTGTTATTATAGCGATTTCTCTTATTACAATTTTCATTACGATTATCATTAACATTGTCATAACTTTTAACATCATCACGAGCAGCAATAACAATAACAACAGCAATAACAACAATAATGATAACATGAACAGTAATAACAATAACTAAAAACAAGAATAACACTAACTAAAAACAACAGCAACAACAACAACAATAATAATAACAACAACAGGAACAACAATAACAATAGCTAAAAACAACAATAACAACAACAACCATAGTAACAATAATGAAAATAACACCACCATATCTAACAACAGCAATACCGACAACAACAACAACAACAACAACAACAACAACAACAATGATGATAATAAACGTCATCATTATCATCATCACAAACCCTTAACAACAGCCATTACTATTTTCATTTTAAATACTGAAAACCTTTCGTATATTAATTTTGTTAGAGAAGAGATAAACGTTCAGCGCTATCCGAGAAAAAACGCAAAACGAATTAAAACAATATTAATTCCGCGAAAATAAAACATAAAAAGGTTAGAGTAAAAAAGACACATGATTGGAAATAATAGTTTTTTTTTTTTTTTTTTTTTTTTTTTTTTTTTTTTTTTTTTTTTTTTTTTTTTTTTTACGAGACACCCAAATGCCCTCGGTGGATTTGGCGCCATTTTTAAAACGATCAGTGGCGAATTTTTCTGTTTTTTTCTCTCACTCTTTTCAATTATTTTAATGTTTTTGTTTTTCCTTTATATTTATCTTTCTCTCTCGCTCTCTCTCTCTCTCTCTCTCTCTCTCTCTCTCTCTCTCTCTCTCTCTCTCTCTCTCTCTCTATATATATATATATATATATATATATATATATATATATAT